TTGGGGGGTCTGGGGGAGCCAGCGGGGGATAGGGCCAGGCAGGGCAGCAATCCAAAGGTCTGGGGGAACAAGCGGGAGTGAGGCATGTGGGCCCTAGGGGTGGGGGGGGTAGCCCCTGTGGGAGCCACTTGGCCCCTGTTGGGGGGACTGTAACCCCTGTGGGGGAGGTGTGGCCCCTGTGGGGAGCAGCAAAACACATAGGTATTTAGAATTCACTTTAGGACTCTGCCTGCTCAGAGCTAGCACCTTGGACTCAGATGGAGGTGGCTGACCTTCTAGCCAGTTGGGGCCAGGAGGACAAGCTTTAACAGTTCAAAGCAGGCCACCACACCCAGAACATTTTCCAGGCAGCTAGGGGGCACACATGGCAGTAGTGCTGCGCAAAGGTCAACTTTGCAGCCACAGCCCACTGGCAGCTGGCTCAGAGGGGCAGATGCCTCTACTGGCTCTGCAGTCCCCATCTGGGTCTAGCAGGTGCACAGCAGGTCACAGTCAGGCAGAAGCCCCCACTGCCAGATTGCTGCAGTGGGTAGAGGGTGCAGGGAACTCTCAGGGCTGCTTCAGCAGTCCAGCTGGCACAAGGGGTAGTGTCCTCAGGTACAAATTGGCTGGGCCCCAGAATATCCTGAGAGTGAGTAGCCCTGAGCTACTTGATAGGGCAGCTTTTTGTACCAATGGGGCCAGGATAGTGCAGCTTTTTATACTGCTGGTGCTGGCCCCGGGCTCTAGCTCCCCCTGGCTGCAGATCCAGGAGGAGCCAGGCAGGGTTATTTTGCCCCAGGTGGCACAATTTGCCCCACACCAAAGCGCATGTCTGGGCACATGAGCTGAGGCAAAAAGCCCAGGCTCAAATTTACACCACTTCTATTTGAGCTGCTGCAAGTGCATGTGCCTGCATGTGTGGACGCGCCCTGTGAGTGTCACTCTGAGAGTACACTAGGCTGAATTTCACCCTTAGAACACTGACAATGTTTGGTTCATTAATGCCTTTCCTATGACTGTGATACCTGAATGATACAAAATAATACTACCTAAGTTCAGATAGGTTTTCTTGGTATGTGGGTGAGCCAGGAGGCTTTTCCTGCTAAGGTTTTTTAACCTGTGTGTGCACAAAGAGCCAGCTGTGCACTACTGTGACATGAAAAGGTTTTGTTTACTAGATCACAAATGCCAGAGATAAATACAGCACAACCTCATTTGCCTATTTTATCTGAAATGATTTCTTCTGCAGATCTGTGATATCCCCAACTACCCAGCATCCCCTATCATTTTCTGAACTCAGGCCAAACTATTCCACCATTGCTTATCTGTGATATTCCCAAATAGTGCTAGATAAAATGGGCTCTTGTTTTGTTTTTTTGGTATTGATTATCACATCTTCACCTAGAGTTTCCCCTTAATGCACTGCAGATGTACAGGGCATGAAGTACAAGTCCTTCTAGCATTCAACTGATTACTGTGGCAGAAGGCCACCTCTGTTTCTCCCCCAAAACTCTGCTCTGTGACAATTTGGTTAAGATGGGCCCTGCAGAGGGTACCCACCTTACCCTATCTCTTTAGGTAACCTGAGCTAGATACATTCCTGAGGTAGGGAGGGAAACCTGCTTCCTCTGCCTACGTGACTGGCATCACATACCTGAGTGAGGGGTTTGGGCTCCCTGGTGGGCTACAGACTGCCAGTCTGCCCAGCAACCAGTGATGCATTTCAAATTGGTTGGCTGACAGCCAACAGGTACTGGCCTCCGTTGGACCAGGTAAATGAGGTCATAAAAGCTATATAAGTTAAGGACTGCCCAGGAGGAGGGGGCAGTAGCCATGATAAAAACTCAGAGAGAGAGAAGAGCTAGATCATCTAAAACCCATGATCAAGGAACTGCCTGCCTCCAGAGGGAATCTCCACCTGCCTCTGGATGATACTTCCGAGTAAGCTACCTGAGATCTAACTAGATATATAGCTTGAAATAACTCAGATGCATGATCAAAGGCTACTCCAGCCACTGTGTTTGCTGTATGGGATTTCTCTGATACTACTCGACTCTGTACCCTATTTCAACCCTACTTCTTGTAACCAATAAAGTTCTCCTTTGTACCTAGTGTGGGAGACTGATTAGGAGTGGGTCTAGATTATGCCTTGGGGTCCCCTTGGTTTGGCTGACTAAGTGAGATCACTACTTGTTCTTCTAACTGAGGGAAGCATCCCAAGTTCTTGAAATGAGTCAAGTATCCTCAAGGGCTACTAGGTCTGTGTTTCCCAGGGGACATTGTGCCAGAATCAAGCCCATCCCTGGGTGGTGGCAGCTCTATCCCCAGGCTAGTGGGTGTGTTCCAGGAAGGGGGTTGGCCAGACGTGAGGCGCCCCCAGGGAGGCACTCAGAGCCTGGAAGGTGGTCGGGCACAGTGAGGTGGATGGCTCAGCGCAGGAGAACCCCCCCACTGGCCCACCACAATTGCCATCCTGGAAAGTGCCACCAATCTAAGCATTTAATCTTTGCACATTTCAGGTACAATCTGACTTTCCTTTCTATAGGCTGGAAATTATTTAATACAGAACCAGCTTACCATATTTTTGACACAATAAAATAATTAAATAAATGGAAACGTACCTTTGCAGCAAACTGCATACATGTCTTCTCATCAGGTTGGTATGAAATGCAAAGCATAACAAGTCCCACTAAGGACACCATGCAAATCTGTAAAGAAGATTTAAATGTCAAGATATAAAACTTTTCCAAAAAAGTACCCTCCTGTATTACCAAAACTTTAAATTCTTAAAATGAAAAAGATTTAAATATCTATGGCACTCATGTGGCCACCTTTACAGATTATTCAAGCACTTCCCTGTCTTTTAAGGTAGTGTCACAATATTTCATGAGATGGGAACATGCTATCATCTCAATTTTATGAATGGGACCGGGCCCTAGAAAGTCAAGTGACTTGCCCAAGAGGAAACAAGAAATCTGCTAAAGAGCACGTCCTAACCACTAAGCTGTCCTTCCTCTTAAAGCTTTCCATTTTGAAATCTTAATTTTGAAACCTTTGGTGCCACATGATCCATAATAAGGCATCACAATTAGAGGCTCAATTTTCAGAGGTTGCAACAACTTACAAATCCAGTTGGAATCAACGGGAGCTGCTGGCTCCAGAAATTCTGCAAGTTAATTCACTTCTCCAACTGGCTAAATCCTGGCTAATACTTGCTTTAAGCACTCGAGCTTCGGAACTTTTATATTTTTCCTTTTATGCTTGTTGTTTGTGTTTGGTACTTCAGTGTGCTTACCCAGTATAACTGGAGAGTGTGTTTGTGTGTAAAGTAACCCCAGGCAGAACTTGTGTACTCCAAAAAGGGGAGACATGCTAGAGTCTCCAGAAAGCCCAGCAAGAACTTGGCTGTTGTTCTAGGGGATATACGGAAGGTGCTATTGAAACAGGCCACATCAAACATATCAGAGAAAGAGAGAGAGAATGCAGAGTAGCTTGCCAGATGGGATCCCTGACAGCTCTTTTTCAGAGCAGTGAAAAAAGAAGACACTGCACAGAACCCCAGATTTGGCATGCACCAACCAGAGTGCCCAGCAGTACTCCACAGAGATAAGCAGAGGGGCCAGCAAAGTTGGGGCATAGCCATGTCACTATCTTCCCTGCACATCTGTCAGTACCAGGTACAGGCAAGCACAAGCCTCTTGTTCTTGAAGCAATGCTACTGGCTGCTGCTGAGTGAACCCGCTGATGATCTGTGGAGCCATTGTTCCTTATTTGTCCTGTACAAGCACAAGGGCTCAGAGACCCTTCATCTGGCTACTGTGCCCAGAGATCTTTCAGAGGGAAAGGCCAGACTGCAGTCTTTTCATTAAGGGGCTTGTCTACACACACAAGATACATGGATTTCATATGAATTAGTTTTAAACAGATTGATTTACATCAACCCCCCCTGCCCCCCACTTCTTGGAATGCCTTACATTGGTTTGTGAAAGGCTTAATTGTTTTAACTTAAACCTGTCCCTAATTGGCATAAGCTAAATTTGATAGAAGCCTGGTTTGGACTGCTTTATGAACATCAGCATAGATTGTTGCACTGCTTTACTGTCTTCTAGCTAAATCCATTAAACACAGACCTTTCCTAAACCTGTTTCATTTTTTGTGTCTCATACCTGAGCCATTGCTGCTGCGTTTAGGTGTCTAACAAGGCAGGGGGAAAGTGTTTCTCCCATTGTAACATCTCAGACAATATTTATTAGACAAATCCTGAGAAACAGTGACCACTTACACCATCAGATAACCCCAGGGGTGAAGGCCTTTGTGAGGACAGCATTTGGTCACTGACCTCCTGTGCCCTTCTGACTTTCCTACTATCACTAACAACTGAAAACTTTCAACAGGGATAGGGTAGGATCATGAGTCTGGGCACCAATAAGTCTATGTATCACATGCTGTTTGTAGAGTCTTGAGATCATTAACACAGCTGAAAAGTGGTAGGCAACGTTTCCCCATACAGCATGGGATAAAGTAGAGCCTTTCAAACCTTTTAATCTTAACAAAGAGGACATTTCCCTTTCTTTTTGTAAGTGCATTGCAGCCCTGTGGCAAAAGCAACAACTGCTTTTGCAGAACAGTAATAGAAAAATATTTAGATACTGTAGCTGCTTTTATTATTCAGTATAAAGATTATGATTTATTTGCAGTAGCACTTACCACAGGCTAGGGACAACAGGTTGGGCTCCCACAGCTCTGGTAGTCTACAAACCACAGTTTGGGAACCTTGGGTATGTCTACACTGTAGTAGCATAGGGCTTGGTCTTACTGAGGTGGCAACATAAAACACTCATGCACCACATGCCTCTCAGCCTTCAAAATTAAGTGGTCAGGGGTACCTAGTGGCAACCCTAGCACTGTTCAAGATCTGGTTTGCCAGCATGCTCTAGTTCAGCAGCTTGGGGTACCCCCAGGATATCCCCAGTGTCTCAAAACAGCAGGACAGCCATGAATTTGTCCACGCTAGGGAGTGTGCTGGGGACTTCCAGAGTTAAAAGTGTGAGTCTCTGATAGTGTAAGCTAAAGAGGAAGTCTGGGCAGCTGGGGACTATAATGAACTGTGAATGAGACACACAGAGAGGCAGGTATCAGTGGGTTTGGAGATATTAGCTGGACAGGAATTGCAGAAAATAAGTATTAAAGTTACTGGGAGTGCTGAATCTGCCATGTGGTGTTTTAAGTAAGTAATATCTTTAAGATCATGTTTCCAAAGACTTTGCAATGAACACACAGAACACATACCCCCTGCACTGGAAAAGCTTTGATAAATCAAACCACAAGAAATCTGTAGCTGACCTATTTATCAAGAATCCATTGACTCCTCACACTTTAATAATACCCAGTAATGTAAAGTGGGGGAGTGGAAGGGGGGGGAGGAAGGGGCCTGGTGTCACTTTGTAGGGAGGACTGGGGAACATTGACTCAAAAGCAGCCATTGTTGGAGCAGTGGCTGATCATACCACAGCAACTAGCACAGCAGGAGTCAGTACTGCCCTGGGCACTGCACAGCTGCCCTAGACATGGAGCTGCACTGTTCTGCCTCTGACAATACTAAAAAATGGATGAAAGGGAAAAGTTTGACTTTTTAAGAATTCACAGCCACCTAATGGACTAAAGATACCAAAAAATGCACTTCTAGAGAAGCCCCATGTTACTGATATGTCCTTTCTGGAACTTTGATATCCCCAAAATTAAGCTTCCTACTGCTGTTGTTCATTGCAGCCCTTGTGTTCAAGAAGAATGTACTGGTGTTCTTTAACATGTCAGCATTCAAATATCATCATCGTCTGTCTCAGCCCAGAGGAAGAAATGGTCATTGGCAAGCACAATTGTTTTCTAAACTTTATTAAACAATGCTCCAAAAGCTATCCCTGGCATTTCACACACACAGTGCTACCTGAATTGTACTGGATCATCTGTTAGTTCTACAGAACTCAATATCAAAGGTGGCCTCTATATCAAGGGTGATAAACCTGTGGTACATGTGTCACAAGTGGCATGGGTAGCCTCTGTGTGTGGCATGCAGCAGACTGGGGAGGAAGAGGCAGGGAGCAGGAATCAGAGCAGTAGATTGAGTGGGGGAAGGTTATTGGAGTGGCACTCAGGGAGTGCAGCGCTTAATTTGTGGCATGTCTGCCAAAAAGGATAGCCCCTGCTGTTCTATATTTTTAAGAACCTGTGCCAAGTCCTACTGAACTCCATAGGAGGCTTTCTACTAACTTCAGTTAGGCTCAGGTCAGCTCCCAACTTAAAAAATGTCTAGTTTCTCTGCTCTGATAAACTAAGTAAATTGACTCTGGAATAAGAAACATTTTATGTTTGATTACAGAACTCCTACTTTTTAGTTTGCCGTCACCAAAAATGTGAAATTAGTATTTCATCTTGTGGGCTTGTTTTTATCAATGAAGCCAAAGTCTCATTGGGTTCAGTGGGCCTCAGTGCAATTTCTTTATGCATTTTTTTAATGAAGGTTGATAGGTAAATAGGCAGCAGGACTATGAAGAAGTATATCCCAGATTCAGTCTCTACCCCAGCAGGATCTAATCTCCAAATTAGGACCTTGGAAATGCAGCGCTCCTAACTGAGAGAGGCATGAGCTTTCATAGGAAACAATTTATTTCATCAGATGCTAGGAATCCATCTAATGAACTTAGCATCCATTTCTAGCAACTGACAAAGTAGGTTTCTGCCTACAAAAGCCCATGTCTCTCTGGGCTCTAGTTAGTCTCTAAGGGCATTTATACATGTGCTCTGGGAGTTGGGGGAGCGGTTGCTTTAATTAGAGGGGCTCCAAGAGCCACTCTAATTAAAACGTCTGGTGCGTCTTGTGTATCAGTGTTCCCGTGCTTAAAAATGGCAGCAGAGTCACTTTAACTAAAGCTCATTCATTGAGTTTTAGTTAAAGCACCCCCGCCACCATTTTTAAGCATGAGGACACTGATACACGAGATGCTGGAGTAATAAACAGTAATTACCACACTCTAGCAGACTTGATTAATCGAGCTTGCTCCAACATCCTATAATTACAGCAAGTCAGAGCAACCTTGCTGCTTGTGTATAGGCGTCCTAAGGGTAAAGTTGCATGTTACACAGACCACACTGAGAGCATTTAAAATGCAAGTAGCCATACATTAAAGCTTATTAACTTGCATTAAGCAGTAAGTGCTAAGCCCTCTGAGCATCTCAAAGTTATGCCACCTCAGGCAAGATTTAACTCGGGGCCATGCTACCTAGCTCATGTTAGTGTAACTTCCATTTGCTCTGCAGAGATAAAATGAACAATTTGCAGTCTTCCAGCATCACAGGAAACACCACTTCCCACCCCACCCCGCAACCATGAGCATGGGTAGAGCCCAGGTGTCCTGGTTCTTGGCCAAACCCCTGCTTGCCAGCCCTTTAGTGGCAATTCAGAGCAATAGAGGGTGGAAATGTTATTAACCCTTAACATGTAACTGTTCACAGCACATTTTAACTTTAGTATGGTCTAAGTATAATGTGTAACTTTACCCTAAGGTGCCACACTGCCCTACCTTCTAACTGCGAGGAGAAAAACAGGGGGACATGAATCACAAATCAAGATCTGCATTAAGGCCCCAACTCTACAGTGAGATGGACGTAGGCAAACTTCAGTGCCTGCGAAGAACTGCAAGGGTCTCCAGAG